AATTCAGCTTATACAACATATAAGTCCAAACATGTATGGTTCCTGGATTTAACTTCAGTCTCATTTCAGTGGGTCAGTGGGTAAATGAACGAAGGGTATGTGAGGCTTGACAAAAGGGAAAGAAGGCATGCTGGTGTGTGTTTGTGAATTCATTCTCCCTCCGTTTGGCGACTTTTAAGGAAGTTATAAGTTAGGCTAAAATGGGAGACAAGGAATGGAGGGTAATAGTACCTCTTCTCCCCCCCCCCCCCCGCTACTGGAGTTTGAGGAGGTGGTCAAGTTATTTGATGCTTAGTCTTTAACACATAAGGCAAACAAATACATGAAAATCAGATTACTAAATACAATATAAAATACACAATTAAAATCCTATATAAATAATTAAAATGCTACATATATCAATGTGCAAGATACGCCCTTAAAATACTACATAACTACTGAATGGACTAGCACCTGCATAACTAAAAACAAGGTAAAACCAAGTAAATACAGCATTATTAAAACTTAAGCAGAGAACACTTTGGATAAAAACAGCCACTATTAGTGGTGGGATGGTCTGCACCTCCTACTTTTTTTTAAAATCAAGAGTAAACTTAGATTTCCAGGTTTCCTCCAGGTTGAACTGGATTGGCCTGAGGCGATGCTTTGATACCTCAGTCTAATCCATTTCCCAGCCTGCATTAAAGAGCTGTGGAGATGGTGCCTTAGATTGTCTTAGATCACCTGAGATCCAGTGCTCTAACCATCTTACATCAAACAAGCACTTTTCAAAATCAAATTTATAACCCCCTGTTTAATGATTTAATGGAGAGTCCTCCTTTTTAATTCCCATTTTTAGGTTAAATACAGTTACGAAAACCTTAGTTGGTTCGTACAAACACATCTCTATGAGTAGGTACATCAGTTTCTATAAAAACTTTTCTCACTTTCTGGACTAGAATCTAATTAACACATGTATTAGAAAGAAATTACAGGTTAGTATAAACAGCATGACTTAAATAAAATTTATACGTGAAGAAGTTAGGGTTAGAAGTTGCAAAATATCAATTGGATTTATTATTTAAGATGCCTTGCATGAGCAACATATTGTCCCAGATAATACATCTGTTTTCCAGTTTATGTTTTATGTTTGAATAGTTAAAATTCCTATCCTTATACAAATGTTACAGTGTCATTTAGGTGTTGTCATAAAATATTTAACACCTACTTAAAACAGACTTTTGATTCCACTGTTAAATGTCATCCCAGGAAACCTGAAATGTGTTTATATTACACACACTAGTGATTTTTACTAGCCTGGGTTAGAGAGCTGTGTGCTCTGATTACGGTATTGCATTTAGATATGAGAAACCAAACTTCAAATCCTCTTTTAGCTACAAATAGACCAGGTTGTCTGAAGCAAGAAATATATGTTTGGTTGGCAAGTTGGTTGGTTTCCTTTTAAGTTTTTTAAAGTCTTATTTTATAAAGTGCTGATATTGTAGAAACTATCCTATATATATTTCTGCAGAACGTGTGGCAGCAGTTCATTAATATTAATATTTTTTCTTCGTAGCAAACATATGAAGTTTAAACAGTGCTTTCAACTGTTTATGAGAAGAGCAAGATGCATTTATGTAGAAATAGATTGGTTTTCTAGAGCATTTTTTGAACTTGTATTTTTGGTATCATAAAAATCAACCGGTAAATGCCAGCTAGCCACAAATTATTCTATGAGCAAGCATAATGCAATTTGACTTCATATCCAATTTGGACAAGGATTAAATAATTTTTATGTTATCACATTCCAATTCAGACCTACATCAGACAAAAACTTATTTCTTATGGATGAGTCAACAGATACTATGTACTTTCACTCATGTCCATGGAAGGAAGAAGTAATATGAAGCTTTATTACCAGGAGGACCCTTCCTGAGCTACCATATTTGTGAGATTTGTCACTGGAATTTGGCACCAGACTTCTGGACATTTAATCCAACAAGAATGTCATTTTCTATATTGTCAGCCAAGTGAATTGTTTCAGGCAGGCATTAGGAACCTATGGTCCTACTGATATTGTTAGACCACAGCTTCCATCAGATCTGGCCAGTACATCCTGTAATAGGGGTGGTGGGATCATCCTTCACTTAATCCTTAGGGTTAGCACTGTCCTATAAAATAAATGTTTAAGGCTTTTATTCTTTCGAAGAATAACTGTGATATATTTAGAATACTTATGAAGATTATGTGTAGAAAAAAAAGGTGTCTCAGTATTGTACTCAGCTACTTAGATGCTTGAAAGTATGAGCAAATCATTTTTAGACTTTTCTTGTTAAGAAAATGAAATAGCATTTTGTAAAGGAACCGTTGGGAATTGCTCGCAGTAGTTGATTACATGTGGTTGAATTTTAAGTGCAGTGCTCAGTGGCGCAGAGGAATATATGTATGTGCTGTTGAGCATATCTCATTTGAATGTTAAAACTAACACCAAGCCTACAGATCCTTTGTGTGTAAATGCTGTGTGCTCAGCTGAGGTAAGATAGCAGGAACACGCAGAACTGCAAGGGTGAATTATTCCTGTCTAGTGTTGTGGCCAAGCAGAATCCTTTGAAGACTAATGGTTCTGTAAGGAATTCTGCAACATTGTTTGTTAGTTTTATTTTTTAGAATAAACTTTTGGAGATTTTATGATCTTTGGAAAAGCATGACCTTGTTAGAAGTCAAAACCTTTTGAAAAATGATGCCATAAATGCCATAACCTTTTGTAATAATGGCATTCATGCAAAGCAATTGGGCTTCTCGGCTATTAAACTGATGTACCTAGGTATGTCTTTGGACTGTAAGGGACAAAGATATGCCAGTGCACAACACACACACATATACAGCAGAGTTTCATAATCTAAAGCATCTCTCTGTTCTGAGAGTCTGATAGAGTCTCTGTCTAGTCTGAAAGTCCAATAGAATCTCTAAGCATACTGTTCCTATTGAAATCTAAAGCATAGAGTTCCTACTGAAGTCTCTAAGGATACTGTTTCTCAAATGGAGTCTGAGTCCTGAACAATCACAGTTCTGATCACATGATCTGCACCTCCTCCCACAACATAGAGTTAAAGAAAAACTGCAAACCAATATAGACATATACAAAACAGTAAGCAATTATATACATAACAAATAATGAGTGGAGGCTTGAGGTCACTATTAGCAACATTGTTAATTTTGGACCTACAAGTTGATCATCCTTTATCCAAAATGCTTAATATTATAAGTATTTGGGATTTTGGATGTTTTTATTTTAATTATGTTGGAATACTTATATTTATATACATGTATATAATGAAATATTGTGCATGTATGTTTCATATACATCAAACACATCAACTGTTAATTTTTAATAATTTTGTTCATGAAATTAAGACAAAATTATGGTAAACAGAAATTTTGCTAACCTCACCACCTGTGTAGTATTTTGGATTTCAAAATTCCACATAAGAAATCGTTAACTTGTATTATTTTTTGTATTTGAAAACCAACAGTTTAGAGAGCTGTTTATTATTTGTATCATGATATTCTGATGTCACCTTCAACTATGACAAGCTAACACAAGCCTTGAGGGACATTAACATTTTAAAAACTTGATTTCAACTTGACATGATAATATTTTTATTCTTATTTTGGCTTGCTTTTTAAAGGTCTGTTGCAGAAGGCTGTAAAAACCAAAGGACACATCTTTATTGCTTTTTCAATAAGCAGTCAGTCATACCAAAATCTGCCTTAATTTCTAAAGAACCCCCTACAGTTAATAAACAATGAAGAAAAATGATCATAGTATTGATTATATAGTACACTTACATTCTGTTGCTTTCATTGTACACTGCTCCATTTCATATGCTAGAAAATAAGACAATCCCATATGTTTTCTTGTATTAAATTGCTTATTGACATCTAAATGGTCTCTGTTTATTATCCAAAATAGAAGACAAAGCATCAATAGTAACTGAATTCCCAGTTAATAGATTACCATTGAATTCTCAATATAATGTAATGTGTTCACATCCTAAGGACTAACTTGCTGTATATATGCTCTGGGAATAATTCTCCAGAAAAAGGCACATATGAATTGGAGAATTAAAAATGAACAAACAATCATAATTATAATAACTATGAGAACAAACAACAACATTGGCAAGTTTGAATTTTAAGCACAATATTCTTAGCCTCATTTAAAATCTTGTTTCATTTTTTTTTTGCTTGTTTGCAGCCCCCAGAGTACTCTGAGCTTCATGTAAATAAACTAAAATTACTAAGTGCAAATAAGACATTAAAATGCTCTTACTGATATATTTAAATATTAACTTGGCAAGCTAGAACATATTAGCCAGGATATTCTAGTATGCAGTAGCTATTTGAAATATAATGGAAGGAAATGGCAAACCACAATTCTTTGCCGAAATATTCCTTGCTTATGAAAATCCCATGTAATCATGGGTCACTGTAAGTCAACAGCAATTTGGAGGCAGATACAAATAGACAGCAAGCATTATGCTTGGTTGGAAAGTATTTAGGGGACCAAAATAAACACATTTTCATTTTTAAAGCAAGTGTTGATTTTATATCTCTTCTCTGCACACTCCTCTGATCAAGAGTCTGAAAATGTATTGTAAAATCTGATCATTTAATTTTGTACAACCTATTGCAAATTTGAAAGAAAATCTATTGTACAATAAGTAGATATATGAGTTTATTTCATACAAAATTAAAACAATATTCAAAATTGGAAAGGATTCTTACCTGAGAAAATTGTCTTTCTTTAACATTCTGGTAGTTATTGGTACTAGCTGTACTCCTTGAATGCCATTTACTTGCAGAAAAGCAGGATGCAAATAAGTAAACCACGAAATCATAAAAAGCCGTCTTCTATCTTTCAAGGTGACTCTCTGTGTGACATAGGGCAGCTCTTGATTTCCTCTCACCCCTTTGGTTTCTCCGATGCAATTTGCTAACACACATCTAATTTTTTACAGACCTTTTCAAGAAATACTACCTATTGTGGAGAACAAGATGAGGAGTATCGGGTGGAAGTCACAACAGCTTTGCAACGGATTGACTTATTCTCAGAGCAGTTCAACACAGTTTTGCTAACATCTATATCTGTGTTCACAAAAGGGCATCTTACAATAGCAAACCTTGGGACATCAGAAGGCCGCTTCATGCAGGTAAGTAAATCTGCAATTTTTATGATTTTCCTCCAAGGTTATATTGGCTTCTTGGTACCTTAACAGTAAAGTTTTAAAAAATCATTGCTCCACCTAGCTCAGTATTGTCTAATTCAGGTATGGGCGAACCCAGGCCTGGGGGCCAAATGTGACCCCTTTGGCTCTTTTCTCAGGCCCTCCTCCATCCCTTCCTTCCTTCCTTCCTTCCTTCCTTCCTTCCTTCCTTCCTTCCTTCCCTCTTTCTTTCCTTCCTTCCCTCCCTCTTTCTCCCTCCCTACTTTCTTCTTTCCACCCTTTTGTCCTTCCTTCCGTCTTTCCTCCATTCCCTCCCTCCCTCCCTTCCTTTTTTCCATCCATCCATCCATGCTTCCCTTCTACCTTTTTGTCCTTCCTTCCTTCTTTCTTTCCTTCCTTCCTTCTTTCCTTCCTTCCTTCCTTCCTTCCTTCCTTCCTTCCTTCCTTCCTTCCTTCCTTCTTTCCTTCCTTCCCACAATTCCTTTCCACCCTTCCATCCTCCTCTTCCCCCCTCCCTCCCTCCCACCCTTCCTTCTCTTTACACCTTCCTCCTTTCTTCCTAGGAGATGTTTAGCTGGGAGAAGAGAAGGTAAAGAGGGAACATGGGAATCATGTTTCAAGATATCATAGAGTGTCCCATTGAGGAGGAGGAGGGGAAAAACTGATTTTTCTGCTACTCTAGAGACCAGGGCACAAGGGAGTCATGGGTTCAAATGGCAGGGGAAGAGATTCGACAGACAAGATTAGGAAGAACTTCCTGGAGAGTGGCCTAGGCTGCCTGGGAGTGTGGTGGAGTCTCCTTATCTGGAGGCGTTTCCGCAGGGGCTATCGGGAATGCTTTAATTGTGCCTTCCTTCATGGCAGGGGGTTGGACTGGATGGCCCTTGGGGGTCTCTTCCAGCACTAGGATTCCAGGATTCTATACCAGGAGGAGGCAATATGGGGTCTAATGGATATACTTTTTCTCTCCCATCCACCATCTCATCCTGACCAAGGCCAGCCCTTTTGGGACCCAAACATTTTCCATCGTTCCTTCACTTTCTGCCTCCAAAAGAGAAAGAGAGGAAAGGGCAGGGGAGGGGCTTAGGGAGAACCCCCTCCCTCCCAGACCATCCACCTTGCCATGTGACCCCCAAGTTACAAAGTTTGCCCGTGCCTGGTATAATTAGTTGATGGTTCTTTAGCCTCTCTAGAAGTATTTCCTTCTCCTGTTACATGAGACTGTGTAGTTCAGTGGTACTCAACATGTGGGTCCCCAATTGTTTTGGCCTACAACTCACAGAAATTCCAGCCAATTTACCAGCTGTTAGGATTTCTGGGAGTTGAAGGTCAAAACATCTGGGGACCCACAGGTTGAGAACCACTGGTTTAGTTGAAAATGTTTGAGATAGTGCTCAGAAGATGTAACACACAAAGGGTTATCGGTCTGAATTTTCCATTGCTTCTGATACTTCAGTTATACATTTTCCACTTTTCCCTTACGTAGCTCTTATGAGCTCAGTTTTATAGTTGGCAATTCACCAATATTTTTACAGCATATAAAATAGGCAAATTCTGTGCTGCAGTGCTTAAAATTTTCTAGGTGATGACCAGTACCACGAGCTAGCATTTTAACTTATTGAAAACTTGTAACTACAGCTATAGTTAGTGCTTCAACCTTCTAGTCTTTGGACTTGTGTTTGATTGTGCTCCCCACTCCTTGTCCCCTATGTGCTCCTACTCCTACCTCTAGATTATTTTACCCAGTTACAAGCATCTGTTCATCAGCAATAGGTTGTCAGTACTGTCTCAAAAGATTTTATTTTATCTTATTTTATCTTAGCAATAATAAAAGTTAAGATAAAACATAACATGGTTATTTTAATATACAAGCATTCAATGCCGTTTTAAGTTCATATTTAGCACTTTTTATTTTAAACTCAGATTTTAAAGGCTGTATTTTAATGCCTAAATGTATGCTTTTCTTCATGTTCTATTGGTTCTTTTAATACTGGTCATTGACTGAAATAAAAATGTTTGTTCGTTCATAATTGGCAATTCATTTGGCTCTGGCTGATGGCATGGTTCTGTTATCTTGCTGCTTACCATCTATCTCACTCAGCAGCCAGTGCTTCTGTTTTTGCTGCTGGGCCATTAAACAGCTTCATGTGACAGATTACAACTTCATTAATGTCAGCAACATATAAGTGCCACCATGTTCCTGTAATGTTCCCATTTACTTGCTCTGTACTAGAAAAATAAAGTTTTATTTTATGGTTGCTAGCAGAGACACCAGATTATCTTTTTTAAACAATGTGGACCAGGACATTTTCAGTTCTGCGCTGTAGAATGATGCAAACCTTAACCCGATTGTTAATCCCACCTAGAGTAGGTCCATTGAATCAATGAGATTTCCTCTGTATTTCAGCTCTTCATTCAACAACTGATTCAGTGGGTCTATGCTTGTGAGTACCAACCAATTGGAGTCAGGCCATATTCCCTTTTTTCTTCTTGTTGTGTGCCTTCAAGTCATTTCTAATTTATAGTGACCATAAGGTGACTCTATTTTTTTGGGGGGGGGGGAGAGATTTGTTCAGAGGAAGTTTACCTTTGACTTCTTATGAGACTGAGAGAGTATAATTTGTCAAGGCCACCCAATATGTTTTCATGGCCAAGTGATGATTCAAACCTTGGTCTTAAACCACCACACTACATCTCTTTAACAATGAAGTAAATGAAAATAATTTGTTTTGATTTGCTCAATAAAAATAGGAGATATGTCTGAATGCTCCACTGGAGTATCTTCTAAGGAACATCAAATTAAGCCACAAGTCTTATTTAAAGTGTTGGTTTGTTTCCTGACGCTTTGGAGTTAAATCCAAATGTAAACTTTAATTAGAGTAGACCCACTGGGGAATAGAACTTGTTAAGTCGATATTTATATAAATCCTGTTGATAGTGGGTCTGTACTAGTTAGAATTAGCCATTGGATTTAGTTCTCTACCAGTATGTGTCTTCAAGTAGCCTGTCAACATTTGATGCCCCAATGAATTTCAAAGGGTTTTCTTAGGCAATTAGTAATACAGCCTACCTATACTAAGCAGGACTGACATTGCTTAGATTCCAAGATTAGAAAGGATCTTGTGCCTTTAGTATTCATGCTCCTTTAGTTTTCTATATTGCCAGCTCTATACTTATTTTAGCTTTTTTACATGCAACTATCTGGGTCAGTTGTGAGAAAGATTAAATTTCATTTTTTGACTGATAATTATGAAAACAGTGCAAAACAAACAATTGACTACAAGGAAATTGTTAGTAATAACAACTTTTTCTCCCTTTTTAAGATCTTCTATGGCCTCCTGTGAATTTTCTATGCTTGGTGTAAAAAGATTTGATATTTTCCTGTAGAAACGCAGATATTAGATGTTTTGACTTCATAATGGTGGTATTATTCAGTCATGCTTTGAAACAAATCTTTTCACTCAGCATCCCCTAACCCCTTATGTGGAACACTAAAAAATCTAACACAATACTTCCAGAGCACGTTTCCTTTTGTAAGGCCAGCCAAGGGATCAAAAGAGTGCTATTGTCTGAAATACATAGTGCCATTAGCAGGAATATTCACATCCACTGGATTGAGTTACAGACCAAAGTAATCTTGAAGATCCTGTTGTAATAACCCACAGGCTTTCCCCGCCCTCATGCATGATTTCCCCCCAATTTGAGTGCCCTTGGATCTGAAACTTTTAACTATATGTGAACATGAGTTTCCTTAAATACTTACTGCCAGACAACCCTGAAAGCCATCCTCCAGTACATCCTTCCTTTAGATAAATTTCTTAATTTATCACAGATAAGACATCAATTTATATAGTTATTTTGTTATCTATATTCAGTGGAACAGGTGTGATTTTTTATGGGATGGAGCAGTCTAACTTCAGAATAATATTTACATAATTGTAAAATGGAGTTTCCGAATCCCCCAAACTGTATGGCAACTGGTCTGTGATCATTGCTGATTGGAAGATTCGGAGCTTGTGTTCAAAAACACCTATTTTTTCTTGTACTGTATAAAGGGGTTGTGGTGGCACAGTGGGTTAAACCGCTGAGATGAAGAACTTGCTGACTGGAAGGCCAGCAGTTTGAATCTATGGGATGGGGTGAACTCCCATCATTAGCCCCAGTTTCTGCTAACCTAGCAGTTTGAAAACATGCATATGTGAGTAGATCAATAGGTACAGCATCAGCAGGAAGATAACAGTACTCCATCCAGTCATGCTGGTCACATGACTTAGGAGGTGTCTACAGACAACACTGGCTCTTTGGCTTAGAAATGGAGATGAGCACCACCCCCCAAAGTCGGCTTGACTAGACTTAATGTCAAGGGGAAACCTTTCCCTTTACTTATACAGCAGAAAGTCACAGCATTTTGGAATCCACACAAAAGGGGAAAATTCACAGGGAAGTATTAAAAAGTGTAAGTAAAACCCACCAAGAAACAGTGGTTAGAGCACGCTTAAAGTTAGTAATTGCCGTTACCTTGAAAGGTCACAGGTCCAAATCCGGGAAGGGGCATGTGCTTCCGCTGTCAGCCCCAGCTTTTGCCAACCTAGCAGTTCGAAAAAATGCAAATGTGAGTAGATCAGTAGGTACCACTCCGACGGGAAGGTAACAGTGCTCCACACAGTCATGCCATCCACATGACCTTGGAGGTATCTACGGACAATGCCGGCTCCTTGGCTTTGAAATGGAGATGAGGACCACCCCCCAGAGTCTGACACGACTAGACTTAATGTCAGGGGAAAACTTTTACCTTTTTACCTGAGTGATCCAAATATCATTGGGTTTACTGATTAACCAAATCTACGCAAACCCATTAGGTCACAATGATGTTAAAAGAAATAATCAAATTATATAGAATATTAGGTTTCACATTTGAAAAAATATACCCCTTCCACTACTTACTATTTATGTTTAGAAGTCTCTATAACTTCACATAGATCCAG